TATTATTTGGAAGGCAGAGCAACAGAGAGAGAGCGTGCGCACGCTTCATTCGAATAACGTAATAAGAGAGTTAGGCCATGCCAAAGCCAGGAGCTCCATCCAAGTCTACCTTGAGGGGTGGCAAGGGCCCAGGTACTTGCGTCATCACATGACCTGGCACTCTGACATGGCACACCAGCATTGTAAGAGATGACTTAACCTGCTGTGCCTCCACGCCAGGTCCTCAGACTGCTCTATTGCCACAGCCTTACATAGGCACAAAATAAACATAGCCCCAGGTTGATGGGCAGGCCGATGGAGGGTGCTTGGCACAGAGTAAGTGCTCAGTAAAGTTGCAGGAGTTAGGGTGCTGCTGTTTCTCCTAGCATGGAGTTAATAGTATGGATCCCTAGTAGAGTGCATGCTCTGTTTCTCTGATTGTGTAGAGCAAATGTATGGCGCTAGTCCTTCCTGTGGATAGATCACTCAGTCACCCATTACAGGAACCAGGGAACAGAGTGGAATTGTGCAACTCATATTCTCACCACTACCCTGTCAGCTGCGTTCACCCATTGCTGTTATCCCAGTTCAGGCCTCAGAGGGCGCTCTCGGCATTAAACCTATGCTGAGACTAGATAGATTAAGAGTTAGCTCTGATAAGGGAAGGAAGTAGGCAGAGGAAACGCTGTTATGTAAACAGTTAATCTGTCTTGCACTAAGGTAGACAGCAGCCGTGTTAGCCAGGAGCCAGGAACTCCATCCTGGTCTCCCACATAGGTGACACGGCCCAAACACTTGGGTCATCCTCCACTGCCTTCCCATGGGAGCTAGCAGGGAGCCAAGGGCCACAGCAGTCAGTTTCTGCTCCTATTGAAGCATGAGGCCATTTCCGCAGTCAGTGGCACGTTTGAAACATGTTTTTTGTTTTTTTTTTTTTTAATTGGGGAGTTTGCGATAAACGTGGGAGGGTGGGAAATAATAGGAACTGAGGAGTCAGTTCACCTCTGGTTCTGCTCCTAGCGACCTTACACTTTGCTGAAACTTAAACCATGGCTGCTTACCTTGGGAACAGGTATAGTACAGTTGGCAACTATGCAGAGGTTAGCATGGCCCCTGGGCAAGGGTGTTGACAAATTCTGGAAGACTTCCCTGTTTCTATAATGGTTACTGCTGGCTAGGAAGGGCAGGGAACCAGGTATTGGAGGTCAGATAACAAGTAGTAAAATACGGCTGGAAGTCAGAAGCTGCATCCCACATCATGGTGGTGACTGTCGTTCATGGTCACGTGTTCTATACCGTGTGAAGAACTGGAGGAGAGGCACCAGGAGGCTCCACATACCTGCAAAAGGCACAAAAGGCTGGCTGCCTAGCGGTTTTATGCTGTGTATAGGCGTTGTGATATTGCACTGTAGCCCATAAAAGTGGCCGAGTATTACATGGCAGTCACAATTTGGGTGGGTGGGTGCTTTTATGGCACGGTGGGTTAAGCCTCCTGCAACACCTGCATCCCATATAGGATTGTGAGTTTGTATACCAGCTGCTCTGTTTCTGGTCCAGCTCCCTGCTGATATGCCTGGGAAAGCAGCGGAAGATGGCCCAAGTACAACATTTTTTATTCAAAAGAGGGAGGGGCTGGATCAGAAGCAGAACAGCCAAGACTCAAACCAGTGCTCTAACACCTGTTCCTCTCCCTTTTAAAAGATATTTAACGTGAAGTCTGGGTGAATGTCTGTCTATCTTCTGCTTTCTTGGAAACCGTATTGAGGAAGCACGGACGAGGAATGGGTTCCGTGGAGCTGAGCGAGCCCTGGGGATGCAGCCCCGGCCGCATTTCCTCGCCGTCCTCTGCTGGTCAGCTTGGTTCACACCACCTGCGTCTCGTGTCCTCCCTGAGGGACACCATGACTCGTGAACTGCTCGATATCCTAGGCATTAGGCTTTGTTCGTTCCTGCTGCCATCTGTGCATTTGCTTTTAGGGGTTTTTCCAAGTAAAGTAAAAGAGAATTAACCAGCTCAGTAGAAAGCTGGACGGAGTTGTCTGCAGAGTGACGTTGTTACAACAGACGTGAAAGGAGAACTTTATAACCTCTAAAAGCAAGATTTTATCCTCCATGTCAGTCCCTGGCATGTAAAAGAGAACTGTGAATTTGTCCACGTTTCCTCCACATTATTGGAACATAAATCACCACGTTGCCTCAGTTTTTTTTTTTTTTAAAGATTTATTTATTTATTTATTTGAAAGGCAGAGAGAGAGGCGTCGTCCACCTGCTGATTCACTCCCCAGATGGCTGCAATGGCTGCTGTTGCGCCAGTCCAAAGCCAGGAGCTTCTTCCAGGTCTTCCATGCAGGTGCAGGGGCTCAAGGACTTGGCCATCTTCTACTGCTTTCCTAGGTCACAGCAGAGAGCTGGATCAGAAGTGGAGCAGCCGGGATTTGAACCAGCACCCATATGGGATGCTGGCACTGCAGGTGGTGACTTTACCTGCTATGCACAGTGCCAGCCCCTCAGTTCTAAGTAAATACCACATTAATGTTTCATTTTTTTTTTAAGATTTATGTATTTATTTGAAAGTTAGAGTTACACACAGAGAGAGGCGAGGCAGAGAGAGAGAGAGGTCTTCATCCGATGGCTTACTTCCCAGTTGGCCGCAGTGGACAGAGCTGTGCTGATCCGAAGCCAGGAGGCTCCTCCAGGTTTCCCACGCAGGTGCAGGGGCCCAAGGACTTGGGCCATGCTCCACTGCTTTCCCAGGCCACAGCAGAGAGCTGGATTGGAAGTAGAGTAGCCGGGTCTTGAACCGGTGCCCATATGGGATGCTGGCGCCTCAGGCCTGGGCTTTAACCTGCGTCACAGCGCCAGCCCCATAGTGTTTCATTTTTAATACAAGGAAATGGAAGCATCAGGCAAGTAATAGTTCCAAAAATACACTCAATTGCCAGAGAATACATAGTTCTTAATATTCTGGAAGATTATTTTGTATTGCAGACACATAAATACCTGCTAAATTCATTGCTGAATCTGTGTTGTGGGTTTGTCTCCATTCCACATCGGTTTTATTTAATATATATTGTATGTTTCCAATGACCATTGAGATGTCTTTCCCTTTTCCTTTAGAAGGTCTCTGGGTATGTGTCAAACGTGGGGGTTATAGAAAGTCTTTTAGTCAGACTTCTTTGTATCAATTATTTTTAGGGCTGTGGAGGTTTGTTAAATTGCACTCATGCCGGGAATTCAGGAGATGGCCAAAAGCCTATTCTTGGACTCCCTGCAGTGGGACACGTGGCAGGACTCTTGTTCTCTTGAAAACAGTATTTGCTCAATTCAGAGTCGGTTGTGTAGTGCTGGTCAAACTAGCATCCCCTCCCTCAAATAGCTGGCCACATTGTAGGTATGCCGTAGCCACACGTTGCTGGGGCTACCATGCTGCGTAGCACAGATCTAGCAGGTCTGAATGACAGTGTCAGCCACCGCCAACTCCTTGGAGTTTGTAGGCGCTGCCTAGCATTTGTAGAACAACTGCTGTAGACTGCACTGTTCTTTCCAGCGCACATGCATTTTTCACCAAGACAGACCACCTGCAAGGCCATAAGCCTGTCACAGATCAAAAGATGGGAATCTCACAATGTGTTCTGTAATCACATCAGAGTTGAATGAGGAAACAGTGAGTTACCTAGATCTGGAAATTAAACAATACAAGGCAGGCGCCCGCGGCTCAGTAGGCTAATCCTCCGCCTTGCGGCGCCGGCACACCGGGTTCTAGTCCCGGTCAGGGCACCGGATTCTGTCCTAGTTGCCCCTCTTCCAGGCCAGCTCTCTGCTGTGGCCCAGGAGTGCAGTGGAGGATGGCCCAAGTGCTTGGGCCCTGCACCCCATGGGAGACCAGGAGAAGCACCTGGCTCCTGCCTTTGGATCAGCGCGGTGCGCCGGCCGCGGCGGCCGTTGGAGGGTTGCAGTGGATGGAAGACCTTTATTTTAATCTCTCCCTCTCTCTGTAACTCTATATCTCAATAAATAAATACAGTCTTTTAAAGAATCTTGGATTGTAGCTAAAGCAATATTTAGAGGGAAATGTGTAACTGTATATTTGGTTATATGTTCAAAAGGAAAAGAAGGGTTAAACTTGATGACCTAAGTTGTAGTTTAAACTGCCCCCCCCTCAAATTAAGCTAAACGCCAAAGAAGGTAGCAGGAAGAAAATAATAATAAGGAAAGGGATAGAAGTTTGACAGAGAGAAAATTAACTCCAGTGTGACAGCCCTTCCTTTTTGGTGACTTGTATTAAGTAACTTGTTAGTCTGTAATGACCAGCAATAAAATTAGAAAAAATTTTTTTATTTTATAAATGATAAGGAGTGGCAGCCAGTGTTGTGGCACAGCGAGCTAAGCTGCTGCCTGTACCTCCAGCATCCCATTTGGCTGCTCCATTTCTGGTCCAGCTCCCTGCTAATGCACCTGGGAGGAAGCAGATGGTGGTCCAAGTACTCGGGTCCCTGGCACCCACATGGGAGACCCAGATGGAGGGTCTGCAGCCTGGAGCAGCCTCAGCTGTCGTAGCCATTTGGGGAGTAAACTAGTACTTGAAAGAAATTCCTTCTCCCTCTCCCTCCCTCTCCCTCCCTCCCTTCAAATAAATCTTTTAAGAAAGTCATAAGGAGTCATTTCACAGGAGAGGGCAGGGAATTAAGCTTAGTAATTGAAACTGTTTTTATAATGGAAGACTCAGTTTCCTCAATTCAGATTTGCTTATTAGTCTGATGTGCATGTCCTGAAAATGGGTTTAACCTGTGAGGGGTGGGATCTGTAGATATATTTGACAAACCCAGAGAAGAATTTGCAGTTGCAGGTTTGGACGTCTGACCAGTGGTAAGCAGTGTGCCTCCTTGGAGAGATGCGGACTTACTTTCAAGGAGGTGACAGTTCTGTAGGAACCTGCAGAAGTGATCAGCTCTCAGAAATTTATATATTCTTGTTGAACTGAAAGAACAAACATTTAAATAAAACATTGAATTTTTTTATAGGTTTGTTGACAAGAAGGAAAGGTTAAGCCAACTTAAGAGTAAGCAAGAAGAATTTCAAAAAGAGTAAGTATTTTCATTTTGCTTTTGGACTTGTGGAGGTTATCTTGTTACCATTTGATTTAATTCATTGCTGTAAGAAGAAGCAGATAGGTGGATTGTGTTAGGATCAGTCCCTTCCAAGTGTGGAGGAGGAGTGCGTTTGTGAGAAGTAAAACAGGAGAGGTTGATCAGGTTTTTTTTTTTTTTTTGACAGGCAGAGTTAGAGACAGAGAGAGAGAGACAGAAAGATCTTCCTTCCATTGGTTCACCCCCCTAAATGGCTGCTATGTCCTGAACAGCATCACATCACCAGCGCACTGCGCTGATCCGAAGCCAGGAGCCAGGTACTTATCCTGGTCTCCCATGCGGGTGCAGGGCCCAAGCACTTGGGTCATCCTCCACTGCACTCCCAGGACACAGCAGAGAGCTGGACTGGAAGAGGGGCAACCGGGACTAGAATACGGGGTGCCGGCACCACAGGCAGAGGATTAGCCTAGTGAGCCATGGTGCCAGCCAGAGGTTGATCAGTTTTTAGAAAACAATGGCCTCCTGGAACACAGTAGACCCTTGGTGTCTTGGCAAATGCATCAAACTCCTGGCCCTGATGATTGGTTGTGGCCCATAGGCCAGGACCTTGGCTTGTTGAGACCTGGATGACTCCTGGAGGGCTTCCTGCTTCCATTCGCCTTCCCTCTGGGGGAGGGGGAGTACCGCACAGAGCGCTCACTCCCCCGGTGAACACAGTTAGCGTCTATGCCAGAAATTCCGAGTGTGACGTGAGCTGCTCAGCGGTCTGCAGTGGTTGGTAAACACATACAAGAGCAGATTAAATCTTCGAAGCTGTCCTGCTTGAATCTGTTTTACTTAGCAGTTTCTCTAATTGACTTGATCACAGAAATTTTCATTTTCCCTATAGGATATCCTACAGAGCACATTTTCAGAGATGCTGGCTTGTACCATTTCTTTGAGTACTAACCGTAGCATTTGATATTTTAGATGATGGGTTCTCTTATAGCGTCATTAGTGTTGATAATACTGATGGAAATTATTATGACAGAAGACAGAAACTAGTGCTGTTACAGAAGTTTACTGTGGGTGTTTACAGAAAGGCCCTTAGCTGTATTAGAAGTGCAAAAGGCAGATGATGAAAACAAGTTCTCAGAGAACAGGGAGTTTGAAAAACCTTTTGAAGGCCAAGTCCAGTTTGGTATTTCTCACCATTTCCAAGAACTTGTTTTAAGAGTTTATTTTCTGTCTCTTTTTCCATACAGAGTGTTAAGAGCTATGGAAGGAAAATGGGTAACAGATCAGCTGGTAAGTTAAGAAATGGCTATGTGACTTTAAGTTGGCAGAACTCAAAAAATCATTTTGAATTTAAATTTATATTTGATCGATTTCAGCAGTACTCTATTGAATCATATTTGCAGTGTGGGCTTCTCAGATATTTTGTCAGGCTACCAAAAACAGGGTGAGTCATTGTGGAGTTGTCATAATGAAGAATTGGGAAGTCGGTTATTATCACAGAAGAGAAGAGTTTGATCAGCAGCACATTGCCCCTCAACACGTTCGCTCTGTGGACAGTTGGGTGTTGGCTGTTCACGTCCAACAGTTTTCCTTCTAAGGATGCTCACGTGAACGCAGAGATGTCTCGGGAAAGAAGCCAACAGTCTGCAGCTCTGGCAGCAAAGCTAATGTACAGATTATCTCATTGAAGTGACCATCAATAAATCATATTTTTATTGAAATTAAAAAATTTGTGGCCGGCGCCGCGGCTTAATAGGCTAATCCTCCGCCTTGCGGTGCCGGCACACCGGGTTCTAGTCCCGGTCGGGGCGCCGGATTCTGTCCCGGTTGCCCCTCTTCCAGGCCAGCTTTCTGCTGTGGCCCAGGAGTGCAGTGGAGGATGGCCCAAGTGCTTGGGCCCTGCACCCCATGGGAGACCAGGATAAGTACCTGGCTCCTGCCTTCGGATCAGCGCGGTGCACCGGCCGCAGCATGCCGGCCACGGCTGCCATTGGAGGGTGAACCAACAGCAAAAGGAAGACCTTTCTCTCTCTCTCTCTCTCTCACTCTCTCACTGTCCACTCTGCCTGTTAAAAAAAAAAAAAAATTGTAATGCTGTGTAATTGTTGAACAGACTGGTTAACCCACATGTATCGATATGCACGGATGTCCAAGATATATTTTTTTAAAGCCACTGAATCGTACACTTTTGTTTCAAGATTTTTACTTTTGTGTATTTGAAAGGCAGAGTTACAGAGAGAGGTAGGGACAGAAAGAGGTCTTCCACCCAATGGTTCATTCCCCCAAATGACTGCAATGACCAGGGCTGGGCCAGGTGGAAGCCAGGAGCTTCCTCCAGGTCTCCCATCTGGGTGCAGGGGCCAAGCACTTGGGCCATCCTCCGCTGCTTTCCCAGGTGCATTAGCAGGGAGCTGGATCAGAAGTGGAGTAGCCGGGACTCAAACCAGCGCCCATATGGGAGGCTTAATCCACAGGTTGTGGCTTTACCCTGCTGTATCACAGCACCAGGCCCTCCAAGATACATTTTTAATGAACAAAACAAAAAATAGGCTAGGGTGAAGTTTGATTTCATTTGTGTACATGTTAAATGGAAATATACTCTAAAAAATTTGAAAAGGTAAATATCAAACTTTAAGAAATGACCCCTGAGGAATGATGTGTCAGGCTCGCTCACCGTTCTGTGGTGGTTAACTCTCCCTCACAATAATAGGCAGCATTCATGATTCTTTAATTGCATGTGAATATTTGGACAGAAGTGGATTTTGCTTGTGCTGTGATTCAATTTAGGGTTTTCCTAAATCTTTTGTAGTGCTAAATTTCTAGGTGGTTTCTGATCCCAGGAGTCCCTTTGAATCAGTTTGTGTGTGTCTGTGATGGTTTGGTCCACTGTAACATCCCAGTAATTCATTCTGTAACTTGTACCATCAGACAGTTTAGATAAGCATTAACACCTTAAGCGTTTGAATGTTGTTTTGAGTTTTTAACACCCACAATTCTCTTTTAAATTTGAAGAGGTAGTTTCATGTTTCATATAATCTTGAGGCTTTTCAGAAATCTTGAGTTATGCAATTTTTAAAAAGGCATCTGTTTTTGCTATAGTTATTAATTCACAAATAATGTGTGCAGGTTGTGTGAGATAATCCAGTGACATTAATAGTCTCCTCAGTAGCCACAGTGAAAATGCAGTGTAGTACATCAACAGGACTTGCTGTGCTAATGCAAATTTTCTGCATCTACACTGTCCAATATGGTAGGCACTAGTCACATGTGCGTTTACCATTTGACACATGGTTGGTGTAAGGAACTGAATATTTATGGTATGTCATTTTAATTGTCTTAAATGGTATTTATTTATTTGAGAGGCAGAGAGAGCCCCATCTACTGGTTCACTCCCCAAATTCCTGCAGCGGCAGTGCCTGGGTCAGGCCAAAGCCAGGAGCTGGGAATCTATCTAGGTCTCCCACGTGGATGTCAGGGACCCAAGTACGTGAGCCACCACCTGCTGCCTCCCAGGGCACGTATTGTCAGGAAGCTGGGATTGGGAGGGAGTTGGGATTTGAACTCAAGCACCCCAATGTAGGATGTGGGTGTCCCACCCAGTGGCTTAACCAGTAAGCCAGATGCCCATCCCTTAATTGAATCTTAAATAGCCAACTATATATTGGTAGCTAATAGCTGGTTATACATTGGACAGAACAGATTTAGAGAGTGACTTTGAGCATTTTACTCTGTGCTCACTGACACAGGCAAAAGAACTATGAATTTCTTTCTCAGTTTTTTTGCTGCTTCTGCACTGAACCAGAAAAACCTTGTTTTTCATTTTCTACTATAGGTAAAAAGAAATAGCAAATATAATTATGTTGATCTGTTCTTTATTATATTTTCTAAGTTATACCTGGGAATAAGTAGTGATCTAGTTGTAGTCATCATGAGAGATCAATGTTTGTGATATTTATTGCATACTTTTTCCAGAGATGGAAAATTATGTCGTGCAAGATGAGGATTGAACAGCTGAAACAAACAATATGTAAAGGAAATGAGGAGATGAAGAAAAGTAAGTAGTCTGTGCCCGTCCCTCAGCGGTAGTCAAGGCTCATGAGGGATTTCGGGGGGGACTCAGCCAGGCCGGCCCACAGGCCGTGCGAGGCAGCGAAGCCATCTGGACTGCCCCGCCGAGGCAGCTGCAGGCAGGACTCGAAGCTCAGGAAATCCATTCAGCAGGCTCATTTCTAACTCTGTCATTTTGTATGACCATGAGTGATGCTATAAATATCCACATGGCTCTTGGAGGAGAAAGAGGTTCCCCACCCCTGAGCTAGGGAGAGAGAAAGAAAAGAAGGCAGGAGTGATAGCAGTAGCAACTTGGTGAAGTTTCAAGTATCCCTTATCTGAAATCCTCGGGACCAGGCGGGTTTCAGTTTCCAGGTTTTTTCCAATTTTATAGTACTTTCATATGCATGATGAGATGTTCTGGGGATGGGACCTCCGTCTAAACAATTCATTCATGCTTTTTGTGTGTACACCTGATCCACCTAGCTGCATTATTTTTAGTATTCCTGGGTTTTGGTTGCAGCTCTTCACATGAGGTCGGGGGTGGGATTTTGTATTTGCCATCATGTCAGCACTCAACAAGTTTTAGATTTTATAAACACCCAGTTAGAGAGACCTTAAGTGACCTGCCTTTCTCAATTAGAGTTGAGGAATGTAAGCTCCCTTCTGCCTACGTCTAACTTGGTACTCAGAATTCTTAGCTCATTCGGGAAGCAGAATATTGGTTCTGTTCCCGTAGTGTCTCCCGTGTGTTTAAAAGAACTATCTGTGTTACATTATATTTTTGTGCTTCCCGTGTGTTTAAATCTGTGTTACATTATATTTTTGTGCTTCATAGTTGATTGAATTTAAAGAGACCTCTTAGAAACGTGTATTTCTGAAGACCTGTGTTTAAAGTTTAGAGTGAGTCACCCATGTACCTCGTGATTTCTTCTTTTGTCTCCTCATTGCTTGCAGTGCTTTATGGAGGTCTGAATGGTTTAAAAGCGTCCTTTGAACAGGTTTGTTGTAATAAAGTGCTCACGTGGCCTTCCCAAGATGAATAAGCAAGAGGGCAGGCTGGGGGGGCGGGGCCCACAGTCACACAACCCTGGACCCCCCAGGTGCTGCTGAGGCGAGGGTCCAGCGGCATTCTGGGAGCTGGTTACTTAACAGTGCTTCATCTTCTTCCCCTCAGCCTCCATGCTGGGCAGACCAGGGTTTACCCCCGAACTGTGAACCCCCTGAAACTGCTGAATTTACTGAGCTTGCGCATGGTCAGCGAGCACAGTTAAAGCTTTGGTTCAGCTCTTTGAGAAGGTTCCTGTCCCTTCTGCCACCACAGCAAATAAAAGAACATGGCTTCCGTGAGAGTCTCTCAGGCATGAAAGCCAAGACACTGGCGAAAAATGACCTAAGTGAAAGATCTCTCTCTGAGTGAGATCCCAGTGGAAAGAACGGGCCATCAGAGAAGGAGGTACCTTTCTCTGAAGGGAGGAGCGAACTTCCACTTTGATTATGGCCTTGTCTAAATAAGATCAGAGTTTGTGAACTCAAGAGGCTTCCATAGCCTTGGCAGCTCATGACAAGAGCCTCGGGTGATTACTGACGTCATAAATAAGAGTGTCAGTTGTTAAGTCAACAACAGGAGTCTCTGTGCATTTACTCCCCATGTCACATCTCTGTCCTTAATGTGTTGCACTATGTGAATTAATAGTAAAACTAGTCTTTTTTTTTACATTCATATATTTGTGTTTATTCTTTTTTTTATTTTATTTTATGTAATGAACATAAATTTCCAAAGTACAGCTTATGGATTATAATAGCTTCCCCCCCCATAGTAAAACTAGTCTTCAAACAGTACTCTATGCTTTGTGTCTGTGTGGGTGCAATCTGTTGAAATCTTTACTTAGTATATACCAAGTTGATCTTCTGTATATAAAGATAATTAAAAATGAATCTTGATGAAGAATGGGTTGGGAGAGGGAGTAGGAGATCGGATGGTTTGTGGGTGGGAGGGTGGTTTTGGGGGAAAACTGCTATAATCCAAAAGTTGTACTTTCAAAATTTATATTTATTAAATAAAAGTTTTCTTAAAAAAAAAAAAAAAAAACACATGGCTTCAATGCAGCAGGTCCTGGAAAAATGGTTTCCATCCCTAGCAAACATCAGTGTCACCTGGTGACTTTTTAAAATCAAGAGAGAATCCTGGGGTCCTCCCTGAACTTGGGAAAAGAGTCACGTACCTGAGTGTCATAGCCATGTCAAACAGCCGTACTGAAGCAGCAGGTTTCCTGTGCTCCCCAGGGTGTCAGTCCTCCCCTTGTGTGTCTGGTACTTGTTTGCTGGTTACCCCAGATGCACGGGCCACACTTTGAGAGGGATTGTGCTGGGGTTGTGATGACAATCAGGGTTGGGAGATGTGACTGTGGTCTCACTCTCACCCTCTAGACTGGACTCCTGGCATTTTACAGTGTTGACGGAGTTAATGGATTCCAGAAGCTCTGCTGGACTTGAGTCTGTGGATAGGAACCTACTATGCAGGAGTCTTGTCCTTTTCTTCCTTCAATTTTGATAAAATAGGGTATATTTAGGAACGGGCACTACTTGTGAACTCCCAGGCCTGATGAAGCATTCCTCCATCCTCTCTTGATGTAAGATTTCATGATAGGCCATTTTATAGACACATGGTCCATCCTGGGGACGGGAGGCATAAGCTGTCGCAGTGTTCAGGTGATCTGTGCTGCAGGTATGTATGCAAAGAAGCGAGAGTGGGCAACCCAGATAGCGTCAACTCCTGCGGCCTGGGGCGAGGATGACTGAGTGCTGCGTCTGCCCGGGGTGCAGACGGGGTGACAGCTGGTTTCCTGACACCTGTGAGGGCCCACGACACTAAATTTGAAACTTTCCTAAAAAACTGGCAAGCAGTTGGATCACTGACTCAGAACCACGACTAGACAGTGGTCCCTCGAGCGCCTGTCAGGAGCTCACGAGAGATGGTGAAAAGGAGTGAGCCCGCTGGAAACTCGGCCTGAGCACGTGTGATAGAGGGGCACCCGAGGAGAAGGGGAGAGTGTTAGGAGCCGCAGGCCTGCAGCTGAGCACCCAGGCCCTGCCGTCCTCGGCGAGAGGCTGGCTTGGGTCCACGTATGTTCCTCCAGTGCCTGGTGTGTTCCCAGGAGACAGGCCGCCTTGGGACCTGAAGGGGGAATGAGAGCAGTGCATCCTGGGAGTCCAAACACCTCCCCTAGAGTGCTGAGGAGTGGAAGGCGGGGCATTTATGGCAGGGGGCCTTGCGGAATGAGTAAAACTTGGACATTTGCACATGGCAGGGCACTTCAGAAAACAGAATTAAAAGGTTTATTGGTGAGCTGGTGCTGTGGCTCAGTGGGTTAACACCCTGGCCTTAAGTGGTGGTATCCCACCCGGCTGCTCCACTTCTGATCCAGCTCTCTGCTATGGCCTGGGAAAGCAGTGGAAGATGGCCCAGGTCCTTGGGCCCCTGCACCTGCTTGGGAGACCCGGAAGAAGCTCCTGGCTCCTGCCTTCGGATCGGCTCAGCTGTGGCCATTGCAGTCATTTGAGGAGGGAACGAGCGGACGGAAGACCTCTTTCTCTGTCTCTCTGACTCTCAAATAAATAATAAATCTTAAGAAAAAAGGTTAATTTTGTGGGAAAAAATGAAGTCTATATTTTGTTTTGCTTTATTTTTTTTTTTTTTTATTTATTTGACAGGTAGAGTTATAGACAGTGAGAGAGAAACAGAGAGAAAGGTCTTCCTTCCGTTGGTTCATTCCCCAAATGGCCGCTATGGCCGGCGCTGCGCCGATCCGAAGCCAGGAGCCAGGTGCTTCCTCCTGTCTCCCATGCGGGTGCAGGGGCCCAAACACTTGGGCCATCCTCCACTGCCCTCCCGGGCCACAGCAGAGAGCTGGACTGGAAGAGGAGCAGCTGGGACTAGAACCCGGCGCCCATATGGGATGCCGGCACCGCAGGCAGAGGATTAACCAAGTGAGCCACGGCGCCAGCCCCTTGTTTTTGCTTTTTAAGATTTATTTATTTATTTGAAAGAGTTAGAGAAAGAGACAAATACTCCATCCTGGTTCACTCCCTGGATGACTGCAGTGGCCAGGGCTGAGCCAGGCTGAAACCAGGAGCTTCATCCCATCTCCCACTTGGGCAGCAGGGGCCTGTGTACTTGGGCCATCCTCCTCTGCTTTCCCAGGCACGTTAGCAGGGAGCTGGATCAGAAGTGGAGCAGCTGGGACTTGAACTGGTGCCCATATAGGATGCCAGCGTTGCAGTCGGCAGCTTTACCCGCTACGCCACAGCACCGGCCTCTGGGTGGTTTTCATAATGCACATTCTTCGTGTCCTTTAGAGAGAAGAGTAGGAACAGCAGTGTGAGGGAACGGCAGCCAGTCCAGCGTCTACATTTCCATTTGTGTAAACGGCTGCTGCCTGTGCAAAGGACCTGGAGTGTGCAGTGGTGGAGCACACTGGAGTGAAGGTGTGCAGAAGGGAACCGTGGAAGGTGGGCCAGTTTGGAGGGGCCTTGAGGCTAAGGAGTTCAGTCTGTATGTCATGGACACTTGAGAACCACTGGGTGCTGTGGGTGATTATTATTTTTAAAGATTTATTCATCTGAATATCAGACTTACAGAGACAGTGAGAGGTCTGCTATCCTCTGGTTCACTCCCCACAATGGCTGGGGCTGGGCCAGGCCAAATCCAGGAGCCAGGAGCTTCTTCCAGGTCTCCCATGTAAATGGCAGGGTCCCCAGTACTTGGGCCATCTGCTGCTGCTTTTCCCAGGCCATTAGCACGGAGCTGGATCAGAAGTGGAGCAACCAGGTCACAAACTGGTGCACATACGGGATGCTAGCATTGCAGGCTGTGGCTTTACCCACTACACCACACTGCCAACCCCTACAATTTATTCCTAAATCTAGCAAGTAAAAGAGGGCATGAAGACTTGGACTTGAACCATGCCGGAAATAGACAATGGTTTGGGAGAGAGTTTACTGGAATGGAGACAATGGGAATGGAAAGTAAGGCCTAGTATGAATGGTTAGGGCCGCTGATGGAGCTGGCTGTCAAGGCACGAGTTTGGTAGTGGACAGGTTGGTAATAGTCATCCAATAGAGAAACGAGCTTTAAATGTGTCAAGAGGAGGGTCTCCTGGAAAAACAGCGAGTGTGTTGTTGAACTTGAGTCTATGCCTCGTGACTGACTCCTAGGTGTCTGTCTCAAAGTCAACAGCGCACTTCTGTTACTGAAGGGAAGTTCAAGTACAGCACAGCAGCCCTCACAGGTCTCAGGACCCAGAAGTGGAGGAGCTTCCCAGAAAGGCCCTGGGTCTGATGGGAGGAGCGCGTGGCCATGCTGTGTCAGACGCTGAGCGTGTGTGCTGTGGATGACTCGCCAGATGGGGTCCCCACCCTGCTGGGTGCTGCTGCATCCACTCAGCTGCTGTGGCTTTCAGAGCTCCTGGGCTATTTCTGTGGCCCATCCTTTGCTGTGTGAGCCCCTGCCGTGAGATTATCCCCGAGTGCTCTTGTATCCACGGCACATCTAAGAGGTTTCTGTGAAAACCAGGTAACCAGTAAGCTGTTCAAATGAGATCTCTTCTCTGCCTGACCTGAGTGCTCTTCGGTGCTCACTGGTAAGAATGTCAAGTACTTCCCAGGCCAAACATAAAACTCCGGCAGTGACTCTTTCCAGTGATGGGCACAGGGGAGGACCCAGAGACATGTCAGCTGCCGGCTTTGCCTCCTGCTCAGCATCTGCTGGAACTAAACTCTGAGAATTTCAGTAGTGGTTTTTTTTTGTTTTTTTTTTTTTTTTAAGATTTATTTTATTTGAGAGGTAGAGTTACAGACAGTGAGAGGGAGAGACAGAGAGAAAGGTCTTCCTTCTGTTGGTTCACTCCTCTAATGGCTGCAACGGCTGGAGCTATGCCAATCCGAAGCCAGGAGCCAGGTGCTTCTTCCGAGTCTCCCATGCGGGTGCAGGGGCCCAAGGACTTGGGCCATCCTCCACTGCTTTCCCATGCCACAGCAGAGAGCTGGACTGGAAGAGGAGAAGTCAGGACTAGAACCCGCACCCATATGGGATACTGGCGCCGCAGGTGGAGGATTAACCAAGTGAGCCACGGCGCCGACCCCCGCCGGCCCCCAGTAGTGGGTTTTATTGAGGTTTTGCTTTCAGTTCACATTGCAGGAGTAGCTCCTAGCTTCTGGGGTGAGGTCTGCAGCTCCCGGGGACTGTTTGCAGAGATAATTGTTGGTGTGGCTCCTTTATCTCAGATTCTGAAGGCCTTCTTAAAACAAAGGAGAAGAACCAGAAGCTTTACAGCCGGGCACAGCGGCACCAGGAGAAGAAGGAGAAGATCCAGAGGCACAATCGCAAGCTTGGCGACCTGGTGGAGAAGAAGGCCACCGACTTGAGAAGTCACCACGAGCGGCTGGCGCACCTGCGGCGCTCCCACGTGCTGGAGCTGACGTCCGTCATTTTCCCCATGGAGGAAGTAAAGACTGGCGCGAGGTGCCGTAGCAAGGGTTTGAATCTAGGAATAGGTCCAGTTGCAGACACTGTTTCTCAAGTATGTCAGCACCTCTCACTGGACCTCGTGGTGGGCTCCTTGGTTTCCCTGGCAATGAAACTTAGGTCTTCTCTGCCTCAGCAGACAGCACCTGCTGCAAGAACTGGGGAGGCAGCCGGGCGAGGGGTGGGGCCCGGGCTTATGTCACCCAGCTCCCAGGTGTCCTGCTGGCTCAAGTCCTGATTCAGAGCCACGTGGTGCACACTGTCGGCGGCAGTCCCACCCAGGCTGTTACTGTGTGATGTGAGGCACATACTTGAACCCACAGTCTTACTTCCGTGTCTGTCAGATGGGAATTGGGAAATGCCTACTTCCCAGACCCATCTATGGGAGCCAGTGAGGGCAAGCACCCAGTGTTCAGAGCGTCTTAGATGGTGGGTGCTGTGTGCTCACTTAGCCTTGTCCAGCTCAGTGCCTGTGTTAGCCACTGTTGAACACTGGCTATTGCGACATTGGTCCTAGGTAGCAGTACATGGAGACCATGAGGGGTGAGTGAGTTGGACAGGAGTGTTCCCCTGCCTGGCTCCTCCTCGTAGTTCCCCAGGGACTTCTCCAGTGTGTCCCACAGTCCTTGTGACGACACCACTGCTGCTCAGCAGGCTTGGAGAGTCCCACGGACAGCTTACCTTTGCTATCTCGCTAACCGTCATGATCTCGATCATTTTTGTGTTTGTGTGAGTTTTTAAAATTTATTTGAAATTTAAAATTTTTTAAATTTATCTTAGAGACAGGGATTTCCCACCCACTGGTTCACTTCCCAAATGCCCACAGTAGCCAGGGCTGGGCAAGGCTGGAGCCAGGAGCCAGGAGCACCATCCAGTTTTCTCACATGGGTGGCAGGGGTGCCACTAAGCTGAGCCATCACCTGCTGCCTCCAAGGGTGCACATTAGCAGGACTGGACGCAGGTGCTCCAGGAGGGATGTGGGCATTGCAGACGGTGTCCTGACCGGGTGCCAGCCCCTGTTGCCCATTGCTGCTTCAGCTGAGGGTTGCTTGTCTCTGCTGGCCACTCACTCTCTGGGACCCTGGCCGGGCTCTGACAGTCTGCACTGTGGCCAGTCTGGGAACTTTCCTTCCTGTGCTGCTGCCGTCTGCCCTTAAGTCTCTGCCCAGAGGTGGCTTCCCAAAAGCCTCTGCGTCTGGTGGCTGCTTCCAGCTTGAAAACCTGCTGCTTCTGTCATTAGTGAGAGATGGCAGACAGAACAAGTGAAAGGCAGGTTCAAAATAGGCAGAAGAGAAAGTTCAGAAACAGACCCTCAGGTGGCGTTTTGGATCGGTAGGGTAGAAGTTAGATTATCCAAAAATGGTGTAAACAGCTGGCCAGGCTTTGGTAGGGGGTAGGAGGGATGGCAGAACAGAAACATGCCACATTAACTTCTGGTGGGTCAAAGATTCCAGTGTTCAAGCACACTAGAAGACAGTGACCAAGACACTGTTGCACATCTTAGCAAACCTGCAGCTGAATGCAATGTGATATAGTGCATTGGCTCCTGGGCCCCAGAAAGGGCCCTAATATCAGCAGTGCGATGCATATAGGGGTGCACCCGGTTAGGAAAAGAGTTAGTAGTAATACCACAGTGTTAACTGTCTGATAGGGATCCTCACCTAGTCCTGAACTGATAATTTGGGGGAGTTGGGTAAAGCCTATAGAGGACTTTAAAATCCCTGCAATTTTTTGTAAGACTGAAATTTTCAAAAATAGAAGATACATATATGGGAGCCAGCGTTGTGGCATAGTGGGTTAAGCCATTGCCTGTAATGCAGGCATCCTGTCTGGGTTGCCGGTTCGTGTCCTGTCTGTTCCACTTTCAGTCCTGGGAAAGCAGTCGAAGATGATGCAAGTTCTTGGACCACTGCCACCCACTTGGGAGGCCCAGGGGAAGCTTTTGGCCTCTGCCTGGCCCAGCCCTGGCCATGTTGGCCATTTGGAGAGTGAACTTGTGGACAGAAGATATCTCTGTATTTCCCTCTGTTACTCTGCCTTTCAAATAAATAAATATTTATTTTATAACATTTATTTGTAAGGCATAGAGAGGTCCTCAGTCCACTGGTTCACCCCCTAGATGGCTGCAACAGCTAGGGCTGGACCAGGCCGAAGCCAAGAGCCAGGAGCTTCCTCCAGGTCTCCCATATGGGAGCAGGGGCCCAAGGACTTAGGCCATCCTCTGCCGCCCTCCCAGGCATCTAGAGAGCTGGATCAGAAGTGCAGCAGCGAGGACTCCAACTGGTGACACAGGCAGGAGCTTTACCACTATGCTATGGCGCTGGCCCTAGTGCATCTTCATTAAAAAAAAAAAAAAAAAAAGATACACATACTCAGAGATCTTCACAGAGTTCATGGAAAATGCATGTCATCAAAACCCATGCATGAATTTCCCAAAATTTTTTGCACCAAAATAAACTTAGCTTTGCTTCCATTTCTTGATTGTGTCACACACACACATTATCTGTACACAGAGTCATGTGCCCTCTGACCCATCAGTGACCAGTCACGCACATAATGATGGCCCCATGAGATCACATTGCCCAGTGACGTCATAGCCATCTTCGTTTGTGTGAGTGCTCTGCTGTGTTTGCACTGCAAGGCAGCTGCCTGGTGACTCACTGCTCGGAAGGGATGCCTGTCATTTGGCAGCACGTGAGGCTGTGTGTGTGCATGGATGCACACACGTGTGCTAGAAGAGACAGCATGGCGAGAAGCTTTCTTCTCTGTGCTCTACTGTCTGATAAACATCTTTTTAGCGTGTGTTATATGTAATGCTGGTAATTTTTTTAAGTTGGTGGTTTCAAAGTTATGCTTAGACTGTTTCTCATCCGTTTGCATTTCCTCAAACTTCTCGATGAGAAGAAGGTTGATCCAGGCTTGGCTGTGACAACCAGTCAGGATGCCTTATATCAGTGTTACAGCCACAGATAAAAAGGTTGAGAACCACCGGCCAAGAGCACAGAACCTAAACTTGGAGCAGCATCAAAGGCCCCTCCTGCTCTGCTGTTCTCTTCCCTGCTCTTCCACACCATTTCTTGGCACCTCCTTTGTGTATCCCACACCAGCCATGCAGACCTCCTCTGTTCTCCAAGGACACCCTGCTCTCCCACTCTGCGCATCTGTACCTGCTGTGATGCCTCATCTCTGATTTCTGTGCCATCCGTAGCCATCGGACCTCTGTGGGCCTGGGACACCCATTCGGGGAATCTGTGCAGTTCTAGCTAGTTCATATTCATGCTAACAGATTTGTACAAGTGGCTCAAGAGCCACTCTGGTGCCTTGACACACTTCAGAAGTTCAAAGCAGAGACTCCAAACTGTATTAATTAATAGTCATTGTTTTCCACCTTGCACTTGGAGTTAAAAAAAAAAAAAAAAAAAAAAAAACAGCTTCACTTAAGAATGTCCTTGAGGAGGCAGTCAAAATCAAAATCAAAATCTTGATCAGGAGTGCACGTCTTTAAAGTTGCAGTATGGTGAGATGGATGGTGTGTGTGGAGCATGGCTGTTTCTTGTTTTTCTCAGTTTTAATTTCTAATGCAAATAAATGTCAGTAATCTAACCCAGAGCACGTGAAGAGGTGTTGAGGCCAAATAGGCTGAGAACCTAATACTTGGGGCTCTTGCTCCTGGGGCCATCTTCTCCCACTGTGCTCCTGTGCCAGGGCTGGTTGAATCCTCATCTCTGGTAACAGTTAACTTATCTCTGCCAGGGCATTTCAAAACACTCATGGAAACAGAAAGATTTTTTGGTGCAGAAGATTTTGAATTCCATGTATGTTTTTTTCTTTTTTTTAAAGATTTGTTTGGCCGACGCCGCGGCTCACTAGGCTAATCCTCCGCCTGCGGCGCCGGCACACCGGGTTCTAGTCCCGGTCGGGGCACCGGATTCTGTCCCAATTGCCCCTCTTCCAGGCCAGCTCTCTGCTGTGGCCAGGGAGCGCAGTGGAGGATGGCCCAAGTGCTTGGGCCCTGCACCCCATGGGAGACCAGGAGAAGCACCTGGCTCCTGCCTTCAGATCAGCGTGGTACGCCGGCCATGGCGGCCATTTCGGGGTGAACCAACGGCAAAGGAAGACCTTTCTCTCTGTCTCTCTCTCTCTCACTGTCCACTCTGCCTGTCAAAAAAAAAAATTGTTTATTTATTTGAAAGTCGGAGTTACACAGAGAGAGAAGGAGAGGCAGAGGCAGGGAGAGAGGTCTTCCATCCGCTGGTTCACTTCCCAATTGACTGCAATGGCCAAAGCTGCACTGATCTGAAGCCAGGAGCCAGGAGCTTCTTATGGGTCTCCCACGTGGGTGCAGGGGCCCAGCACTTGGGCCATCTTCTCCTGCTTTCCCAGGACACAGCAGAGAGCTGGATTGGAAGTGGAGCAGCTGGAACTCGAACCGGCGCCCATATAGGATGGCGGCACTGCAGGTGGCGGCCTTACCTGCTGTATGCGGCTTGTGCTTTTCAGAGACCCTGCGGACGTGTCCTCCGAGAGCGACAGCGCCATGACCTCCAGCACCGTGAGCAAGCTCGCCGAAGCGCGGAGGACCACCTACCTGTCAGGCCGCTGGGTGTGTGATGACCACAACGGCGACACCAGCATTAGCATTACTGGGCCTTGGATCGGCCTCCCCAACAACGGGGACTACTCTGCCTACTACAACTGGGTGGAAGAGAAAAAGACGACGCAGGGGCCTGGTGAGGAAATATTCTTTGAAGTTGCATCTGTAGGTACACCGAGTAGGTGACCGCGTTAACGACTGCTAAAGTGCACAGTTCCGCGGCATTTGGTGCTCCCACAGCAGTGTAACCTTCTCCTCCGTGTAGCTCTCAAACATGTCATCTCCCCACAGGGAAGCTCATGGCATAGTGTCACACTCCCCCCAGCGCCTGCTGGTCCTGAACACCCTCTCAGTAGAGGGGGTCACGGACACTGTGGCCTCGTGCACTTAGCATGGCGTTCCCGAGGTGTGTCGTGCTGCTGTGCAGACCGGCTCCTCTTACGGCTGAGGAACACCCCATTGTCTGCTGACTGCTTCCTCACTGGGAGGGCTATTCCTGCTTTGCTTCTGTGAAGAGACCTCACTGTCTAAAGGAGTGGTGTTGGCGTATCGCGCCCTGCTCTGTAATAGCTCACTTTGTAGCATTATGTGTCATCACAGTCCTAAGTGAAGGCTGAAATACACAGTGGAAAAACCTTTCAAACCCATGCAGTGTCTCTGGTTGGGAAGGGTTGTCGTTTAGTCGTTCAGCAAACACTTAGCACCTGCCCTGTGTCATGCGCAGTGCTGGCCACTGGGGATGCAGAGGTGACCAAGATGGGTGTGACTGTCCTCTGGCAAGGAGGGCAGGAAACAGTAATGATCCAAGGGGGCAGGAAGTGAGTGGGTGCCGCGGAAGGAGCCAGTAGCATCAGGAGGGACTTCTTTGAGGAGGTGACATCTAAGTCAGGCATTGGTTAGTCTGATGATGCAGTATCAGACCCAGTGACTCGGCCTGTAATCTTTTTGTTTGTTTGTTTTTTAAGATTTATGTATTTGAAAGTCAGAGTTACACAGAGAAGGAGAGGCAGAAAGAGAGTGAGTCTTCCATCTGCTAGTTCACTCCCTAGTTGGCCACAACAGCGGGAGCTGCACCGATCCGAAGCCAGGAGCAAGGAACTTCCTCTGGGTCTCTCACGTGGGTGCAGGGGTCGAAGGACTTGGGCCATCTTCCACTGCTTTCCCAGGCCATAGCAGAGAGCTGGATTGGAAGTGGGGCACTCAGGACTTAAACCAGTGCCCATATGGGATGCCGGCACTGCAGGCAGCGGCTTTACTGGCTACGCCACAGCACCGGCCCCCCGGCCTTTAATCTCATTTATGCCAATGCCAGCCCGTTTAACCTATGTGCTTATGTAACATCCCGCCCAGCCAAAAACCATCAAGACTGGTCCTTTTCTACCTGTGCTTCTGTTAAGTCGGGAGTAAAAGCGTCAGGAATGATAAAAGTACGCGTCTGTCAGCCTGGTTCATGACTGTTTTTGCAGAAATTAAAGTTGTGTGTGCGTGTTGTTTGCATCCTTCAGACATGGAGCACAGTAACCCCGCTTACACCATCAGCGCCGCATTGTGCTATGCCACCCAGCTGGTCAACATTCTGTCTCACATACTAGACGTGAACCTTCCCAAAAAGCTGTGCAACAGGCAAGTAGCTGGGGCGGGGCGAGGTGGGGGGCGGAGCGTCTTCCTCAATGGAAGTGCTGTCAGGACGGGAAAGGCCTGCCTGAAATATTAGGTCTATTTCAAAAGATTCCTGCGAATGTTTCGTTATCTGAGGTCACACACGAAGGCTTTGAGAAGACCACAGAATTCTCTCGTTTGAAAACATAAGAAAGGGGAAAACCAGGATATTCCACAGGGGTTAAAATTCAAAAATCTTCAACGACAGACATTCCCCCAGGTCCCACGGAGCCCTCCCTCCGCCCTCCACCTGCGTGGGCAGAGTGCGACGGAGGAATCCTGGGTGTGTGCCGCATGTGGTTGCTGTGAACTCGTTCTCCCGAGAGCAGTGTCTGTGGTTATCTGGTTTCTGTTAAGGGCACTGCCTAGGGAAGCGCTGGGCCTCAAGCCGAACTCCAGTGTGTAAGGGTACCCTTCCAAGTGAACGACAGACAGACCGTGGAGCTTCTCCCTCCAAAAAAGTGACTTCACAAATTGTGTGCTTGTTTTACAGTGAATTCTGTGGGGAAAATCTCACCAAGCAGAAATTTACCCGAGCAGTGAAGAAACTGAATACAAACATCCTTTATCTTTGTTTTTCTCAGGTATGGCAAGTGTGCTGTGAGCTTACTTTTAACTGCTGATACAGTTGAAAATAGTAATCGATTCTTCGCTTTTTCTAGCATGTAAATTTAGATCAGTTACAACCACTGCACACCCTCAGGAACCTCATGTACCTGGTCAGCTCCAACTCTGAACACCTGGGCAGGTAAGAGGGGTGTTCGTTGCCTTCTCAAAGTGCTCTTTCTGGGACTGGATGTGTCATTCCTCCTTCGTGATCAGAGCTAACAGAGGAGACACTGTTGGCCAGCAGGCCATCACTCACATGCCGTGAGCCACGTTATTCCCACATCACAGAGCAGGAGAAACTGAAGTTTAGCGTGAGGTCAGGGCCAGGAACGCGGCAGCTAGGGTCCCAGCACACGTCGGGCTGGCTCCAAAGGAGTGGCTGCTCAGGATGGCGCCCCGTGTGCGGCACATCATCCCCTCAGCAGGTGAAAGCGGAAGCGTAGATCAGCCTGAGCAGATGCCAGGTGAGAGCTGATGAGATGCGGCTCCCAAGAAAGGAAAAAGACGTACAGCAAGCTAAAGCTGCACTGTTCATAGAGGCCGTCAATCATTAACCTTTAGGAGAAGTTGTGCGTAATGACAGGTGACTCACGGTGTTGGAGGAAGCCAGGAGGCAGCCGTCAGGGCTGTGACCGTTGCTGTGGAGACCAAGCCCAAGCCGGGGAGGTCTGAAGAGCGGCACAGCATCTTGGTACTGGGGAGACAGTCAGTTGACATCATTGTAGGTAGGTAGAGTTATCGAAGCGGATACCCAAAGAGTAGGAGACTTTTAAGGATGACAGTTGCGTGTGGCGATGATGCAGGGTCAGCTCACAGCAGTCAGCTGCTGTCTGATTTGCTAGCAGCCAGTTACAAAATGCAGTGGAAAAAAGAGCCCTGTTACTGTGGCAACAAAATGATCAGTTACATAGCAAGAATCCTAACAAAAGATACGCAAAACTGAGACTTTCCGTCTGGTATTTCTTGCACGCCTGCGAGGCTCCGGAGAGGAGTGTGGGGAGCTCAAGGCGGGAGGCGGCGAGGGCTGTTGGGGATTTCTGCGATGCCAAGGCTTCCTCCAAGAAACAATGCCACTTCTAAAAGGCGGGCTGGTCAGAATTGCACAAACGCTTGTTGGAGCTTTGATGAGCTGATTGTAGCTAGAAGCACCGTCTGCAGGGAAATGAAGAAAAAGGAGAACAAGGCACAGGCGTGGCCCCTGTCTAAGTAACATCCCAGTGGTGAGCCAGGTTGCTGTTGGCACGCAGATGTGTGGAGGGGACAGAGCACGCTCAGAGTTCTGAAACAGACCCTGGGGGGTGTGGGAGCAGAACCCAGGGGAGGGGCGGCCTGGGCAGTCGGGGAACGTAGCTCAGCAGTATCGGGCCAGTTGGGCATTCATGAGGGGGGGGGGGGTTGGATCCATACCACATTCCATACACAAAAATAAATTCCAGATGCTATAAGAGACCTTACTTAGAAAAAACTGAAATGACTAAGAGGAAGGGCAGTGTTTATAATCCAAGGGTGGGGAGGGAATTCCCAAGCAAACCACACAGGAAAGGAGTTACACTTTGCGTTTTGTAAAAACTGCATGACTCTGGCCAAGCATGACCTAAGCAGACTGAAAAGTCGAGCAGTAGATAGCTCTTATAGCCTGCGCGACAGACAGTGGAGTAAAAATCCAGCCTAGGTAACGAAGTCTTTTCAGCCAGTGAAGACAGTCTTTGAGAAAAATAATTTTTTTTTTTAAACAGGTAGAGTGGACAGTGAGAGAGCGGGAGAGAGAGAGAGAGAGGGAGAGAGAAAGGTCTTCCTTTTCCGTTGGTTCACCCCCCAGTGGCTGCCGTGGCCAGTGAGCTGCGGCCTGCGCACCGCGCTGATCTGAAGCCAGGAGCCAGGTGCTTCTCCTGGTCTCCCATGGGGTGCAGGGCCCAAGGACCTGAGCCATCCTCCACTGCACTCCCGGGCCACAGCAGAGAGCTGGGCTGGAAGAGGGGCAACCGGGACAGAATCCGGTGCCCCGACCGGGACTAGAACCCGGTGTGCCGGCGCTGCAGGCGGAGGATTAGCCTAGTGAGCCGCGGCGCCGGCCAGTCTTTGAGAAGAATAGACAAAATTCACACAGGCAGCTCCCACAAAGGAGATGGAGTCAGCGTTTGAGTAGTCTTCAGCCTCAACCAGCACCTGCACTGACGCAGGCTGGGAGGGCAGCTGGGTCGGCCTGGCCGTTCCAAAGGCCCTGGGAGCTCAGTGGGCCCGGTCAGGAGGCCGCTGCCCAGCAAGAGGGGGCGGGTGGGAGAGGGTGGTGCTGAGCACCCAGGCTGCCACGATGGATGGGGGCTGTGCCGGGAATGCACGGGGGCTCCCTAGGGCGGGCAAGGCTGCGTTGTGCCCTGTGGCCGGGGTTCCTGCTGGCTGCCTTACATGTAGCAGGCTGGTTGTCTGGCTCCGTGTGAAGGTGAGTCAGGATGAAGGCAGCTGGTGGGAGAGGAGAGGCCAAGGGACGCAGGGAGAGGAGCTGGCTGGCTGCAGGGTGCTCACCCCGTCACCCCGGCTCAGCGCCTGCGTGGTGCGGGCCCGGAGGGCAGCTGGGCAGCCTGGCCGTTCAGAAGGCTCGGCCTCTGGGCCACAGGCCACGGTGGAATGCGGGAGCGCTCTGGGCCACTGCTGTCTCGCCTGTTAAGCTCTGTTAACTTCCCCTAGTGCCCTTCCCCGGGGAGCCCCACACCCGCTGAGCCCTCCTGTGCCGCGGGGGCGGCAGCGGGGAGGGGTGGGGTGACTGCCCACCGCGGGAGGTGTGGCGCCGGGCATGCTGAGTGGGCCGGAGGGGGGAGGGGGCCAGAGCAGGGGCTCCTGTTCTTGGCAGACAGCATGGCAGTAGGGACCTTGGGGACACACGGTGCACGCTTACAGAGGAGCGCGCTGAGTGGCTGTGTCATTGTGGGCAGTGAAGGTGGCCTGTGCCAGGCGTGCACAGGCTGCTGACCGCTCTCTCTGCAGTCCCGTGAGCTTTATGATTTGGGGCAGGGAGTGGCACTTTGTGTACCACCATGACTTCTTGCACTGAATATTGGCCAGAGGCCGTGTGCTGTCTCGGGGATGTCGTGTTCACTCCCCGCGTGCACAGTGCGGCTGTGTAGAGAGCACAGGCTTTGGGGCCCCCGCCCAGGTCGCATGCAGCGTCGCCAGCGTGGCCGGGAGGTGTGGCGCTGTGCCCGTGTTCGCCCCTGGGGGAAGAGAAGCCGCTTGCAGCCGTGGCGCGAGGGCGGTGCAGGCGTAGGTGGGCGTGTGTGCCGGGCAGGGCCTGGGGAGCATCCTCAGGGGGCCCTCACTGTCTGCACGCAGGTCGGGACCCTTCGAAGTGCGCGCTGACCTCGAGGAGTCCATGGAATTTGTGGATCCTGGAGGCGCCGGAGAGTCAGAGGAGAGTGGGGACGAGCACGTAAGTGATGAGGAAACCGACCTGGGCACGGACTGGGAGAACCTGCCCAGCCCCCGCTTCTGTGACATCCCTTCCCAGCCCGTGGAGGTGTCCCAGAGCCAGAGCACCCAGGTGTCCCCGCCCATCGCCAGCAGCAGCGCGGGCGGCATGATCTCGTCCGCGGCCGCCTCCGTGACCTCCTGGTTCAAGGCTTACACTGGCCACCGCTAGCGCGCATGCGCCCGCCGCAGCAGCCTGGGACCGGGCAAGGTCTCCGCCGCACGCTAGCGGGCCTGGAACTGCAGGCAGCGACCGGTTGTTCATTGGAAGCAGGGGAACAGCGTTTGTCAGGGGACCTGGGCTGGTGACCCCCTGCTTGGGATGGTAAATAGAACCCAGGGGCCACAGGCCTTGCTCCCCTGCCCCACGCTGGGGGGAGGAGGAGCTGTGGGTGTGGCCGCTCCGTTGAAGGAATCCGACGGTTCCCCAGCTCTGTAAGTTTTAGAGCTTGGTGAACCACAGGAAGTGATTCTTACTGTTAGGACTTGAAAGGTGAAAGCTGTTTAACAGGATTTTTTTTCCTGTTTTTTTTTTTTTTTTCTTTTCTTTTTTTGGTGCAGAGAACCAGCAGGCTTTGTTTGTAACTTGGTCAGCTTCGGCAGGTAGACGAAGGGCTTTGGTTTTGTTTGGGAAGGGTGGTCTGGTCTTGACGTGGTCACGGATCATTTCATTTGTGTGTGTCCTGGCTCATCAGACATTCCTGCACCCCTCTCCACCACACACCAAAGAAATTAAGGTCTCATCTTTAGGACTCGCACCCCAGACCAGGAGAGATCCTCGAGGTTCGCAGCCGAGTCTCTTGTGTTCCGCGGGCGACCAAGCCTGTCTTACCGGGCCTGGCAGATCATCCCCCTGCACCGTGTGCATTTTGAAGTTGAACTTCTCTCCATGAGCAAAACTTAAGTCCTTAGGGTCTTTCCCTTAGGTAAGCTAATCGCCTGCTGGGCACAGGTCAGGCCCAGTGTCCGCAGGCAAAACACCCTGCTTGCTTGTTCCCTAGGGGTCGGGTCGGTGTAGCTTCTAGGACGTGACCTGCGCTCAGAAAAGCAGAGCAGGGTCCTACAGCTGATCCTGCTGTACCCCGGGGAAAGCTGGCGACAAAGAATTTTCCCTCATCAAGAGATCATTTTCAGCTACTGTGTCTTGTCATTTCTCGTAGTGACAATCTTACAGGAAAACCCTGAGAGGCATTATGTACAAATGTGTAAGTAGTTTATTTTCAATAACTGCAAAAAAAAAATCCCCTGAAAATTACTGCTCCATCTTCGTGTGATTAGCATGAAAGGACCGCAGAGAGATCACCCAGGTGCGCGTCCCACCCAGCTGTTCTCACTGTCATGGTTACGGCTCCAGCTTTGCCTCCAGATCTGAGGTGCTAAGTAGCTTTTGCTGTTGACACATTCGGTGTTTGGTAGAGGCTGGGGAGGAGCTGCAGAAGAGGGCGCCTGTCCCTTTCAGGAGTCACAAGGTCCCTGGCTCTGGGCGCTTTCTCCACGGGGAGGCACCAGGCTTTTCCCCTTGCGCCTTCTTACACAGCCAGTGCTGGGCTTGCGTTTTGCTGTCCAGTTCTGGAGTTCACAGAAAGTGGATGTGGCAGACTCGAACACGTGCCCGGTGACCTGGACGGCTCCGCGCGGCCGCTGCTTCGGGCCCTCGGAAAGCAGGGCGTAGGCGCAGGAGTCGGCCCCCGGGAACTGGGACTTCGCAGACTGACTTCCGCTGAGCTGCACAATAGCCCTGGTTCTCTTAATAAGCCTCAGAGCCAGCCATGAGCATGGGGGGAAGCTAAGGGTGTCCGGGGCTCTCAAACTCAGATGGGAGTAACTCAGTCAAACTTGCAAGGATGTGGGGAATTTGGGGGTTGGGTGGGGTGTGTTTTGTTGTTAATGTCAACTCGAGGCACTTTATGTAGGGTGAGGTGGGCGACCCCTGTGGTGGTCGAGCACCAACATGCTGGCTTACACCGCTGAAATGTTTTGGGTTTCATTATTTTGCACTGGATCCACCCTGTACATAGTCTTAAATACACATTTCAACCACTGTTTCTTCCTCCTCTCTATTGCTGCTCCTTAAGAATCTCCTGTAGGTGCCAGAACTGTATGTAAACAGCTTTTGAAAAAAATGGAAGCTGGTTTTTTTTCTTTGAAACAAAAGCCATAGACATGGTCCTGTTTTCCATTTCTTGAAACAAGGTAATGCTAACGAAAACCCACAGGCACCAAATAGGCTGCTTACAGTGGTCTGTTAGAGACCCCTTCTTGTAATGGGATAGAACTAAGAAAAGTTTGCACATCCAGAGGTCAAGGGGAAGAAGAGCCTCAGTGGGCATGAGGGACGGGATTCGTGCGCGGACTCGGGCCGGGCGTGGGGCCAGCGCTGCGGGGAGGGCCCTGTGCCCAGGTCGGGGCACACCAATGTTTTCTAGACTTTTATTGTATTACTGCAATAAACCTTTTAACAGGACCTTGCTGTTTCAGCCTCTGGCTTGTCTTTTGTGCTGAGGGAAGCAAGAACTAGATCTTCCAGTTTGCAAGGAAAACGCCCATTACTATTTTTCACATGATGGACCATGGTGGTATTAACATGGTGAGGTGGGAAACTGGTTTCCAGACACACACTTTCTCTAAAGCTGTGGCTCTCCTTGGTAGCCATCATTTGATGCATGTGGCCCACAGCGACTTGGTTTCATACAGCGGAACCCTGGGCGAAGGAGCGGGTGAACCCTGGGCGAAGGAGCGGGCCTGTTCAGGACAAGAGGCCGGGGCTGGAGAGGCCTGCTCAGGCTGAGAGGACTACACGGGGCGCATGCGTCCCCGTTACTGCCCTGTGGTCTTGGCGGGCCACAGCTGGGAGACTGCTCATCCCCACTGTCACATCCTGCTTGCTGCAGGTAGGAAGGGCCAAGGTTAACTTTGTCAGCAGTGGTTGGCAGGGCACTTGGAAGCTGTTTCCTGAAACTGTTCCAGGAACTTTGAAACTGGGCTGTAGGACAAGCCTTTGTGCCTGAGCTGTGGAACTGTGAAAGCCGCCAGCTTTGTTCCAAGAGTGTGGTGGGAAGAGGCCTTGGACCAGGGTGCAGTCTGCTTAGATCAAGTGACGCCTTTTGAAACCAGAAGCTGCCAGTGGGACGTCTTTCCTTGAGTAAAGTGAATGATAGAACAGCAAGAGGGCCAGCACTGTGGCATAGAGGGTAAACCCGCCGCCTGCAGTGCCGCATCCCACATGGGCGCTGGTTCAAGACCCCGCTGCTCCACTTCTGATCCAGCTCTGCTATGGCCTGGGAAAGCAGTGGAAGGTGGCCCAAGTCCTTGGGCCCCTGTACCCACATGGGAGACCTGGAAGAAGCTTCTGGCTTCAGATTGGTGCAGCTCCGGCCATTGTGGCCAATGGAGGAGTGAACCAGCAGATGGGAGACTTCTCTCTCTGGCTCTACCTCTTTCTGTAACTCTTTCAAATAAATAAAAATAACAAAAACCTTTGTTGCTGTGCCTTTAGGAGGAAGGGGTGAGGGATATTCTGGCAGGGGAAGGCGATGTGATGGGGCCTTTGGTCCCTTTTTAAGCGGAAGGAACTGCAGGCAGCATTTGACAACACAGTGCTGAAAATGGGCGATGCCTGCAGCCGTCAGGTGAGCCAGGCTGCGTGCACACAAGCACCTCCAGGAGCGACAGAGAAAGCAGCAGTCGGATGCGCTGCGCCTTCTGCAGCGGGTCGGCGGCTGGCAGTACTCCAGCCTCACGCTGCACAGGGCACCCCACCCACCGAGGCGCACAGGCTGGGCTACAAGGCCAAAGACGTTATGTCATCTAGAGGACTCGTGCGCCGCGGTGGCCGCAAGTGCCAGTTCCCAAGGGTGCAGCCTACAGCAAGCCTGTCCATCAGGAAGCCTCCAGTCTGCTGCCGAGGAACGAGCTGGGCGCTACTGTGGAGCTGAGAGTCCTGGATTCTTACTGGGTTGGAGAAGATTCCACACACAGATCCTCTGAGGTTATCATTAATCCATTCTATAAAGCCATCAGAAGAAATCCTGCCAGCAGTCCACAAGCACAGGGAAATGCTGGGGCGGACATCTGCAGGCCGCGAGTCATGGCCTTGGCACGGGCCCGAGTTCGGCCACACTGGTTCTCGCCGTGCAGCCTGGAGAAGGCGCAGTACCCTCCAGCTGCACCGCTAACTCGGGCGATGTCCTGAAATTCGCACCTAATAAACCATTTAAGTCAGAAAATAAAAAACGGGTGAGAGGCCAGTTGACTAAAGACCTCAAAGGGGTTAAGGCGTCAGCGGCTAAGGCGTCAGTACCTCAGCTTCCTACTGGCTGTTCTGCTCCAGCCCCTCTGCAGTGTGGCCGTGCAGTACGCTGAGCACTAGGCTGGGATAGTAGTTGGGGGTCCCCTCAAGGCTCATGTGTAAGAGTGCGGTCTGAGGTCAGTGGTCCTGGGAAGACGGAACCTCAGTCCAAGTGTGGTGTTCAGAGGTGCAGTCCTTCGGGCAGGGATCAGATTCGGTTTGGGGTGTTGGGTGAGGTGAACGCCGCTGAATCCCGGTGATTTTATACGAAGCCGCTCTGGAGTGTTTTACACGTGATGCTCTGGGGCTACCAAAACCATGAACTTACGTAGACAAAACCACGGACCAAGGCCAAGCACCTTCCTTCTGTCAGCTGTAGCCTGGGTTAGGCACCGCAGTCGTAGCAGGCAGCCGCCGAGTGCACTGTGTGACTTCAAGAAGCACCTGATGTTGAGGAAAGCACTTGGCTACCCTTCCCGGCAGGTCTCCCTGTCTGAAAAACAGGCTACCCAGAAGGCATTTCTGCAGCCTGAGCAACGGATGTGACCCTCGGTTTTGGTAAGAAGGTGCCAAGTGGTTTGGAAGTAGATGGAAGAGACACCTCCCAACCTGAAGATGACTGAAGAATGAAGAGAAGCAAGCTCCTCCCCTGCGACAGCACTTCCGCACTTGCCTTGTGAGGCGGGCGACTGCGCCCAGTACCCCAGGGGAACACCGCTGGGTTCTGTGCGGGCATGGCCTTCAGCACTTTGCCGCTCTGGCGATGCTTGCAGCTGCAGAATCGGCCTCACCCGGGGCGCCCAGAGGAAGACGGGGGGAGGGCACAGCAAGATGGTAGCCGACTAGGATGCTACACAGTGCCCAGTCACCCTCACCAGGGCCCAGGAAGCCAGGTGCCCTAGTGCCTGGTTTGAGTAAAGAAACACTGATCCTGCCCACGTCACCCCTCCTACCTCCAAGTCCACAGTCACCTCCCACTTGGGGAAGGAGGGGGAATTAATTGCAAACTTCAAATCTGAAAGCCGGTTCCACAGCAGTCATGAAAGTGAGTTCTGGGCAGGGCCCCACCGCCCCGCCCCCAGGCCAGTGAGTGCATCCTACAGCCAGGCAGCCAAAGGACCAACTCCACACCCCTCCCCCAACCTCTAGCATGCAGATGAACAAGACCAGGGAGAGGAGCCACAAGGGAGTAGGCTGCTCCAGACAAAGCCCACAGGCCTCTACCCTGAGGCTGCTGCTTATAAACAGGGCCTCAGGGCCTCCCCAGGCATGAAAGGGAGACCCACCCAGGGAGGACAGGCTGACTGCGCCAGCCATCACCGCCAGCCTTGCAGGTGCCACACATGTACCGCTGCCCCCACTCCCACCCCCGGCCTGCACAGGGCCTGGTGACAGGAGTCTCAGGTGTCACCCAGCAGGCTCCCAGCCTGGGTGACTACAAGGAACCACAGAAGACTGTGTCTTGATATATCAGGACCAGGCTGGTAAAACCAACACTGGGCGGGTTCTAAGTCTTTGTCCCTAGATCTCAGGACAGATGCTCTGGATCTGCCCTGGTGTCACGTGCAGTCCCTGAGCTCCAGATGATGAGACTCACATGGCCGCCAGGACCATTGCTGTGGCCCTGCGCAGAGTCCACCTCAGCAGCAGACAGCCCGTGGCGGTGTGGCATTGGTCCCGCCCACAAGGTGCACAGGTCTCAGCAGGCAGTGTGGCATCCCAGGAAGAGGCCTGCAGCAAGAGAGCGGCCCCTTTTAGACAGGATGCAACTACAAATCTGCTGCTGATAGGGCAGACCCACAGGCTCCGAGAAAGTAAACAGACTGCTTCGGATTTCTGTAGACACAGCCACAAAGAAAGCCAGATGACAGAACCTGGAAGGGAACCAATTCTTCATTGCACAACCAACACTGCGTGCCAGCAAACTCGGGAACTGTGACCTCACCTAACCAAGTAAGACGCCAGTGAGCAACTCGACAAGCAAATGATATATGAAAATCCTCAAATGAAGAATTCAAAATAGCTATTTTAAGGAAGCTCTGGGAACTTAATGGAGAAAATATTTAATACTCAAGTAGGTCTAATAACAAGCTTGACAGATGGAAATATTTTTTAATCAAATGCTTTTGAACTGAAAAGTTCACCGAGTGAAACTCAAAAGGCCATAGAAGGCATCAGTAGACTAAGCGAGCTATTTGGAAAGCAGGGGTCGGGGAGAACAAGGAAGGAGGAAAGCTTACGGGAACACTGGGATGCAGAAACAGCTGGGGTCCTCAGATTCAAGAGAGGAACTGGAGAATTGCAAAAGGGGTAGAAAGCACATTGAAAGAAAAATTCCAAACTTAAAACTACCCGGGTCCCTGTAGGTCAGAGTTCGCCAGTCTGACCTCTACAAAGTCCACCTCAGGGTATAATCCGCTCCCAAGGCTCAACATAAAGGATTCACAAAGCTGCCAAAGAGCAGCAGACACACAAAGGGGTCTGCTGGCCAGGCTGCAACATCGCAACGGAAACCTTGCGGGCTGAGGCAGGCCTCATGGCACAGTGAGCTAGGCTGCACTCGTGACATCCGGGAACGCTTCTCAAGATTTCATTTTTTTTTTTTTAAAGGTTTATTTATTTGAAAGGCAGAGTTGCAGAGAGAGAGAGGTCTTCCATCCACTGGTTCACTCCCCAAATACTCGCAATGGCTGGTGCTGAGCCAATCCGAAGCCAGGAGTTTCTGGGTCTCCTGCATGGGTACAGCGGCTCAAGGACTCAGGCCGTCTTCTACTGCTTTCCCAGGCCATGGCTGAGAGCTGATTCAGAAATGGAGCAGCCAGGACTCGAACCAGCACTCATATGGCTGCTGGCACTGCAGGCTGCAGCTTTACCTACTACGCCACAGCACAGCGCCAGCCTCAAGATTTACTTATTGGAAAGGCAGACTTGGAGAGACAGAGACGGATCTTAACATCCACTGGTTCACTCCTCAGATGGCCACAACGTCTAGGGCTGGACTAGGCCGAAGCCAAAGGTTCAAACTCCATCCAGGTTTCCCACGTGAATACAGGGGCCCAAGCACTCAGACCTGCTGCTTCTACTGCTTTCCCAGGCTATTAGCAGGGAGCTGGATGGGAAGTGGAGCAGCCGAGACTTGAACTGGTGCTTGTGTGGGATGCTGGAGTCACAGGAGG